GTTGTACCATCTCTTCAGCGTTGCACCCAACGCGACACCGGAGAGCCCACTGCCGATACAGGCAATTTGTGTATATGATGAGCCATCCTTACGATTGCCAACTTTGTCTGTAGACATTGCATTTGCCTGCTTTCCTCCCACGTAGCTTAACAGTGTCGGGAGATAGATCACCGAACATAGAGATATTCTTCACTGAAATGAAAGCAATTCTGGGGTCCAGAGGGACAGCTATCAGTCAGTCAGTGAACGTCAGTTAACTAGTTTACGTAATTCCCTTGATATGTCGGCCTGAACTCTCTACGCTCACGGAGACTGGGTTGAAGAAAGCTGCAGCTAGTTACCATGTTAAATTTAGGCTCTCGGGGAGATGGCTTGCTCTTGTTGAGCGAAATAAATAGCGGAACCTGGCCAAGTGGGCGATCCAGCTCATTAACTATTAGTTACCGTTAACTAATTAGCTATTGGCTCGATGCATCATGCCACGGATGTGCGCCAATCTCGCCTCGATGTTGCTTGTTGAAAGGGGCTTCAGGGAAGTTGGAGCTGAAATTGTTTCAACGAAGTATGAGAGTACGTACTTTCAACGGTTATTTCCCCTTCTCTTCCGTTAGCAAAGCAATAATCGATGGTTCACAGAGCAAACCCTAAAGATGATGATACCAATAACTATGTTAAACTCACCGCAAGTGCTGGAGCTGGTGTTGAGCGTTGTTGAATGTTAACACGATTTCAACAACCCCATAGGAGATCCAGCCTCAGAAGATCTCCCGGGTGTTGAAGTATTTCGAAGGATTTCATAAGCGCGATTGTCGTAGCTAGTGAGTATTGTAATGTTCAGCTTGTAGCCCATGCAAGTGGTTCTCTTATCTCCGTCTTCCTTAAGACCACATGAACCCGTTCGTGTAGATGACTTTTAACTTAATTACTTCGGTGTGCAGTGGAGGTGATAGTGGAAGATGAGCTGTAGAATGGAAACAAACACGCGAATTGAACTGGAACTGAAAATGGAGAAGCCTTTTTAACTCCAATATATGCATTATTCACTGGGGATTTTTCACGTTTCCCATCTGCGCTTGATGCTCGCAAGTTGAATGCTTCATACAATTAACCAGTTGGTTAGTTAGGCACTCTCCCACCGCTGCGTCAAAACTACGAATATGATCGCATGAACCAGGACAGGTGAATAGCGATGCTTCATTCAAGCACTGGCAAATTATGAAACCCGTTTTTTAAAAGGCTCTGCAGTCACTCCCAGCCTCTTCAAGTCTATGTATTCTTCTCCTCTCGGACCCCAGACCCATAAAATAAACCACCGTAAGTCTCTGGAACCCCCCGGGAGAACATATTCAACGCCTCCGCGAGTCTCATGATGTTTACCATTCGCCCGGTCCGCACCCCGGAAGATCTCTCAACCGCCGTATCCCTAATAAAACCTTACATGCCGGGGCTCGATCTCTCCTATCAAGACTTCGAGTCCGAAATGGCCGGTCTGCCCGGCAGTTATGCGCCGCCAGACTCATAGCCCTGCAGACTGAGCCACTGCTAAAAGCCCATGACCAAAAACCCCCACAGTCACAGGCACAGCCACAGCCACTTGGCTGCATAGCTCTCCGTCCACTCTGCCTGCAAGGACAACTGGACGCCCTTCCTGCATCTCCGTCACAGCCCAAGCTCTACAGCAGTGGCAACGATGGTGATGCTGGGGCTAGTGGTAGTTATGCGAAACCCAAAGATTGTGAACGGAAGCGGTTATATGTCACGCCACCAGCACGGGGGTGGGAAAGGCGCTGGTGAAAGTTATATTGGACATCGCGCGGGAGATCAGGTATGAAAAGGTGATGCTTGAAATGTTGCCTGATATGCGAGAGGCGATTAATATGTTTAGGGGGGTGGGGTTTGGTGTGGTTGAGAAGTATTATGAGAAGGCAATTGAGGGGACGGTGTTTTTGCGGTTGAAGCTCTAAAATAGGGGCCCAAGGGCAAGGACTGGAATCATACATCTCTAATTTGATGTTAGATATCTGAAGTGCTCACACTATCTAATATTGCCTAGGGTATGGAGTATTGTTGTGAAAAGGTAGCGTACACGCCTAAAACGATGTATTAATACTCTATAAAAAAGGCCAACATACCACTCCCACGCCTCCTATCTCCCGAATATCTCCCTGAATCTCCCCTGACTGTAGATTTACGTCGTAAGGTTGTACTTGCATTCCTCCATGTCATGTTGACGGCTGCCTTAAGAGGAAAAGCGGACTAAACACTACTCAAATACCGAATAAATGATATAATGCAGTAAAGAAGAAGAAAAGCAAAGAAAAGATTGAGGAGGAAGGGGAGGAGGTGGTGGTGGGGGTGTTCTGGGTAGTAGAGTGATGGAGAGAGACCCTGGTGTTTAAAACTAAGTGCTTTCACTAATGATTAACAGCTTCCGCTCGCCGTGCGGCCTTACTGGCGGACCATTTCACTGGGAGTTGCTTTGCTATTTAAGAGGGCGATCGTACTAATGACATCGGCTGGCTCGAGCAGATGCCAGGTCGCAAGTGTCTGTTTCGAGCTGGCACCAACAGTAACGGAAAAGACTCGTTCCCGCGGAAGGTTGCTGCTGATGAGCGCGCGAAACATGTCTGTTAGATAATATGGATTAGTATGGTAACGATATTATAGTAATATCGCCCAGTGCTTTTGCCAGCAGCGTATATAGAAAGATAACTACGAACCTTCATCAGTGAAATCATCACCTAAACATAGAACAAAATCTGGGTCCTGGCCCTGTTTGTATTTAAACTCATTCACCAGACGCGTGGTAATGGACCCCTTATTGACAAATGTCGGCCGGACTTCCAAATTCGCCTTGCCAGACAAGACCTCGACGGGCCATCTTTTCACCACCGTATTTTCAAGATGCAGCCTGCACTCTCTGGCCTGAAAAGCGCCGTACTCTGGATCAGCCCTGCGAAAGTGCCAAGTTAAAGCGACCCGTTTGCGTTCAATAACGACCCCTGTGTGCGCTCGGTGTAATGTGGAAAATGTCGACACTCATCTGCAGCCCATATCAGATTTTTCGGTTAGGTTTTCCCAATCGTCG